CAAAAGGATTTAATATTCACATTTTGATCAAAGTATACTTATACAGAAATCAGGAACAATCATCTAAAGACACAATCAGATGTTTCAATGGATAACCCTTCCCAGACAGGTTTTTGGGGCTGTGAAATATGTAAATGCCAAATTCTGCAGCCATGCAACAAAAACTAGCCTTGGTTGGTTACTACTACAGAACTGTTCTAGCTGCTTGCCATGCACAATGGCTCTTGAAGGTGAGTTCTGCATCTGATGCTGAGGAGTATATGAAATCAGGCATGGCCCTGCCCTCCCAGGCCTTGTGCTAGAGTTCTGCTGCTGCTTAGTCATGCCCCATCTGATGACCCATAGGTGTGACATTGTCAGCATATTTGTTGTAGTGCCAGTCACACTTACTTGTGCACCATTGTTTTGATCTTCACTTGGTAGTTTCAAAGCTTTTTTGAGTGGGACAGGTAAGGTGCACTCGTGAAGTAAATTCAAGAGAGAGATTTATTGCAGCCAAGGACATTAGAAAGAGTTGGGAGTGGAACTAGTCCGTAGCGAGCAAGATGGAAGAGAAGCTGATCAAGTAACAGAATAAGCCCAAATGAAATAACTGAGGCGATGGGCCAGAGCATGGAGTCAAACTAGGTAGCCTGTCTATAAAATGGAATCTATCCTTATTTTGTGAGGACATTTTGGGGATGTCAGTGTTTTCTCCTCCACCTTAATTTGGCATACTTATCCACTGTATTAATTTTGTTGCTCTGACAAGTTACCACAAGCTCTGTGCCTTATAACAACACAAATTTATTATCTTACCATTCTGGAGGTCAGAAATCCAACTCAGGTTTCATTGGGCTAGAGTCAAGGTGTCAGCAGGATTACATCCCTCTGGAGGCTCTGGGGAAAATCCATTGCCAGCCCTTTTCAATTTCTAGAGGCTGCCCTCATGCCTTGACTTGAGGCTCCTTTCTCCACCTTCAGAGCCAGCAATGCTTTTTCTCTGACACTCCTACCTCCCTCTCACAAGGGCCTTGGGAACTATTTTGGGCCCACTTGGACAATCCAGGACCATCTCCCCATCTCAAGATCCTTGACTTAATCACATCTGCATAGTCCCTTTTGCTGCATGAGGTGAGAGTCACAGGCTCTGGGGTCAGTACGTGGACATCTTTGGGTGGGCATTGTTCTGCCTGCTACACCCACTTAACCATTTCACCAAGTGAAGCAATTTTTTTTTTTTTTCCAAAAGATGACCAGTAAGGGGATCTTAACCCTTGACTTGGTGTTGTCTGCACCACACTCTGCCAAGTGAGCTAACCAGCCATCCCTATTTACGGATCTGAACACGTGGCCCTGGTGTTATCAGCACCACACTCTCCCAAGTGAGCCATGGGCCAGCCTACCAAGTGAGGCAATTATTAAAAGCCAACCCCTGGCTTTGAGTGAATATCCTAGTGTTCAACCTAAATTCACTCTGAGTTGTTTTTTTTTCCCCCCAGAGTTTTCCCCTACCCTCTCCCAACAAATGTTTTGGAAAATGCACTACTTCATTTGTAGGTTATTTATGGCCTTGAGTAAACTAAATAATACTAACTGATAAGCACTTATATAATGCTAATATTTTAAAATGCCACTATTCACTTTAGAGGTACGAGGGGCAAATTCAGTGATAGGGGATAGAGCTAAATAAAAAATTATCATCTGCTATGCTGTTCTTATGCTTCTGTGGTAACAAAACCGAAACTCATGAGAGTAATTGATAAACAATTTACATGTAAGAAAACTATATTAACAATGATGTCTTACCTATGCTTCTGAAACAGATTTAATGAGATAATTGACATAAGATTTAAACAGCTTTATTGAGGTAATTGACATGATAAATTGCATTTATAAAATGTACAATTTCATATGCCATAAGATGAAAGCGTCACCATGAGCAAAACAGTGAGCACAGCCATACCCCAAAGTTTCTTTTTCACCCATTGTAATTCCTCCCCCTCCTTGTCCCTCCACTCCCAGGCAACCATTCATCTGCTTTCTGTCAGTATATATTAGCTTCCATTTCCTAGGCTTTTATATAAGTGCAATCATTTATATATATACATACACACACACACACACATATATATATATATATATAAATAAATAAATATATATATATATATATAAATAAATATATATATATATATTTTGGTCTGGCGTTTTCACCTAGCATAATTATTTTGAGACTCAGCCATATCATATAGCGTGTATCGATAGTTCATTTCCTTTTATCGTATCATACTAGGGGTCTTCAAAAATGTTCATGGAAAGATTAGCATAATCTTTTCATTCCATTTTTCCATGAACTTTTTGGAGTAGTATCATATGGATATGCCATAGTTTGCTTAACCATTCACCTTTTGATGGATATTTGGGTTGTTTCCAGTTTTTTGGCTATTACAAATAAAGCTGCTATGGAATGTTCATTTGCAAGTCTTTTTATGGATGTATGCTTTTATTTCTCTTGCATAAATACCTAGGGGTAGAACTGCTGTATCATATGGTTGGTGTATGTTTAACTTTTTAAGAAACTGTCAACCTGTATTCCAAGGAAGTTGTACCATTTTACAATTCCACCAGCAGTGTATGAGAAAGAATTAGAATTTTAAAACTTTTTTTTTTTTTTTTTCTTCTTAAAAAGATGACCGGTAAGGGGATCTTAACCCTCGACTTGGTGTTGTCAGCACCACGCTCAGCCAGTGAGCGAACCGGCCATCCCTATATGGGATCCGAACCCGTGGCCTTGGTGTTATCAGCACCGCACTCTACCGAGTGAGCCACAGGCTGGCCCAGAATTTTAAAACTTTAAAAATACCTCATGATCACAGCTTGAGCACTCAAGTATATTAAGATGTGCAACGTCATGCACTAGAGAAGTGATTTGGGCATTTAAGGAGCCTGCATCACATTAGCAAGGTATAAATTCACTTATAAGACAACATACTGCATAGTGTGACAGTGTCAGGTGGGAGGTCCAGATGATGAACGTGAGAGGAAATCTGGGCTGCAGTCATGAGAGGATGCTGATGTGATGAGGCAGGGCTCTAGCTGGGATGACAGGCAGGAAAGAGCTAAATCAAAATCATTCATTAGGATAAATTAACACACTGATACTTCTAAGCATTCCTGTTCATATGAGCCAACCACTGCTTTCCTTACAGTTCTCTGCTTCCTAGAGGTATCTGTTGGCACCTTTACCAGTTAGTTATTGCTACACACTACTCCACCTCAACATGAGTGGCTTAACACAACAATCATTTGTTCTCATGTCTGTGGGTAAATGGGACAGTTTTGCGGACTTGAACCAACTTGCCTCAATCTGGTCTCAATCAGGGGTCAGCCCAGCAAGCTAGCTGAGCTCTCTGTGAATCGCCTTGCCCCACGTATTCTCCTCCTCCAGCAGGCCAGTCCCGAGGCTAATACAGATTCAGGGGATGAAGTGGAGGTGCAAAGGCACTGCAAAATGTGTTGGCACACGGATGGGTGAAGAATCGGAGTCATTTTCCATCTATCTACTGCATCATCCACATGTCAACCATCTTTCAATATTCAGTGTAATGTCATATAACTAGAACTGGGCTGAGACCAAAAAAGTAAGCAAAATAGATCCTCTAAGCCACTCCTAAGATGCAGAGTTGTCTGGCTGCCAAGTTCACAGCAAATTAAAAGTTTTGAAATCAGAAGCAGCATAGTGACCTATACCAAAACTACAGTGGCCAGGGACTGTGTATACAGTTTAGAACACAACAGCCCAATAGGATTAGCATCTGAAAAAGGGCAAATTATATTTGGTGTTTTATTTCAGTAAGCATATAATTCATTCATAAAGATTCTCACCTCATATGACTTAAATTTCATATAACAGTGTTTTTATGTCTAGTCACAACGTGGAACAACATCTGCAAGGGACCTTCTACACTTGTAACTAAGGAATCATTGATTTACTACCCAGGCCTCGCTCTGGATCTAGCTAGTTGCTCTTCACTACTTCTTATGAGTGAGCCGCCCTGTCTCTGTCCTCTTTCGAGGAAACCATGAAGGTGGGACCCAGGGAATTTCTCCATTCCAGGAGAAGTCGAGGCGGGGTAGCCCACCACTGGGTCTCATGAAAAGAACCAGAAGACCATGAAGTCGCCCGGGCTTCCCTGGCCCCACCCGGCCCCCAGCACCTCCGCACCTGTCCCCGGCTCCGCCTCTCGCCCTCCTCGAGGCACCGCTCCCCCAAGGCATCGCCCGGAACGCAGCTCAAAATGTGGCTGCACTCACTGTCCGCCTGGGCATTCACGCTTTAAATAAGCGCCAGACGGGACTTTGATTTTAAACACTTAATCGACCAGCTCCACCTTGCAAATTACTGCCTACCCTCCTTCTCCGCCCGCGCCGCGGCCCCCGCCCTCGCGCTTCCCGGCCCAGAGCCTCGTAAAGAAACCGGAAGCGGCGGGAGAGGGCGCCGAGGCAGAGCCTGCGCCGCGCGGCACTGCGCGTGCGCTCGCGGCCTCTTGCGTCACTCGGCCGCGTCCCCGGCCTCCTCGGTGGCTGAGCTGGCGTTGGCGGGGCGGTTGTCCCCGCAAGTTTCCCTCGGCGCTGCCTATGGCTGAAGTGGCGCGCGCGGCTGCAGCCTCGGGAGCTCACACTTTCTGCGAGACGGCGACGAAGGCCGCGGTCGCGCGAGCGCAGGAGGGGGCGGCCCAAGCGGCCTGCGCGGTG